CACGGCCCAGGGTCGTTACCTGCTCCTGGGCGCCGTGTGCGGCCGGGCACAGCGGGGCCCGCCGCTGGCCCTAACACTCAGCGGCACTGGAGCCTTACCGGGAGTTGATTCACCCGCGTCACTGCCCCTCTGTAGCTATCAGAAGGGCAGAAAACGTATTAGGGTAATTTGTAACCGCTACATTTGTTTTGAATCAACCAGCAATTAAAGAGAAAATACCAGACTTGCGTCATCAGCCAGAGAAGGAGGTGTGCCCAGAATGTCGTGGATAGGGGCAGTGCTGTGTCAGTTAACGTACGTGGCGGTTCCATAGTGTAGTGGTTATCACGTCTGCTTTACACGCAGAAGGTCCTGGGTTCGAGCCCCAGTGGAACCAGCGCCAATAAGTCCGTTCTTTTTTCTTGCCTCATTCTGGATTTTTCATAATTTCTTTTAACGCGGTGAGTTTCGGTTTAGCTGTTTCCTCCACAAGATGGGGAACCTCATAAGCAGTTAAAGAGGGCGCGGACCCTGCGTGCGGCAGAGGCGGAGCAGCTTCCAGGGGAGCAGAGAGACGCCCTAAGGGAAGTCCTGTCACACGGGATCCCTTCCTCAGCCTGCCGGAGGAGCCTTTCCCTGCCAGCGCGGGAGGGAAATCCCAACACCGGACCGTGGTCCCTCGGAGGGGCACCCGAGGAGACCACAGGGAGCAGAGGCAGTGGGGGGAAGCAGCAGCCTGTGCCTGCTCCCAAGCGGCGAGGGACAAAGGCAGTGGCGAAGTCTGCAGCCCCACGCGTCCCCAAGGCGTTACACCGAGACTCACTGGAACCCTGGTCCTTTCATCTCTGTGGAGACGTGTTTGAGCGCTGGGGAAAGGCCGGCGGTTTTCACAGAACACATCTAGCGAGCACAGTTAACTCCATCCTTGTTTTCCTCTGTACTGTGCATATCGTTTTTATTAACTGGGAAAGAAAGAGCCATCTCAGCTTGCCTTGGAGCAGTTTAATTTTTAAATTATAACATGTAGTCTCATTTTGCACGTGCAAGGCTTTAGAAAAGGGTAACCTCTGGGCATGGGTGCTGGCAGAGCATCTGTCTGTGCGTGGGAGTCCTATCAAGTGCTGGGGCTAAGACATCTCTGCAGGAGGAGGAGAAGAGTCCCTGAGCTCCACTGACCTGGAATCAGCTCTTGAGAATCTTTGAAGGATCAGAGTGGGAGGGTGTGATTTACCTATCTTAAAGATTAAAGAGAAAAAAATTGGCTTAACTTACTTTAATCAGAGACTTATTAAGAAACTTACCTTAATCATCATCGTATGGAGAAAACTATTAACCTTTGTCAGTGCTTGTTCTTACTAAACAAACACTCTAGGGTATGGGCAAGCTGCAGTTAGAGATTGCAGACCAATGCAAGGATAACTGGGCCAGGTTGCAAAAGCTTTTTTGGGTGGGAAGCAGCTGTACATCCCATAGTGAGGCCTGGCAGGCTAAAGTTGTAACATTAACATCGTACTGATGCTAAGGGCCTGTGCATCCCACAACCTGAAAGTGCAGTAGTACTCCGGCCTGGCTTTCCTCTGCCTATTTGCTCAGCAGTGTGTGCACTGCCCACAGGAGGTGAAGCCAAAGCAATGTGGTCCCCCTCTGGGGTAAACTGTCTTCCACAGACTGGCTGCTTCCAGGATGCAGGCTCAAAGCTGAGGCAGGCACAGCTAGACTTCTCCTGATGTAGGATAGGCAAGCCTTTGGTGTAGGTACATCCCATCTAATAGGGATGGTGATTCTATGGTGCCTACCCTGCCAGGACAGCCACAGCACCTCCAAGTGCATGAGTTACAGGGAATGGGCCTGGTGGTCAGCACTGGGTAATTATCTGCCTCATGTTTTCTTACATTTAGGAAAAAGTCTCCTTTTCAGAAGATGACTTAAGCTTATGCTTCAGATTTGTAAAAGGAATGTTTTATTCTGAGAGCCATGTCTTTAGTGTGTGTAGACCACTGCAGCTCCATCCGTGTGAAGGTGATCCAGCTCCTGACTCAGGCTCTAAAAGCTCGACAGTCTTGCCCTCTCTGCACATCAGTGTCCTGCTTCCGAGAGATGTCCGTGGCTCACACACACATGTATAAATGTGTGCTTTGTACATTCCCTCACTGTGCTGAAACAAAAGTGTGCCAGTCACACATTTTTTGCCGAGACACTGCTCGTTGTGTGCGTTCAGCTTCCAGACTCATGGATCTGTGCGTGCTGCTCCGACTGAGCTGTCTGGCACTCTGCCTTGGGGAGAAACGTGACACGGCTACGTGGAGTTCCACTTCTCTCTCACACATGAGTACTTTTGCTTCCTGATTCCCCTCTGAGGTCACACACACATGCTGTCAGTCAGACTAAAAGCATCTCCATGTGCAGGGTGATGTCCGTGTTTTTTCCCAAAATCTGGCAGAGGAAAACACACCAAGATTTCTGAGGGCTATGCAAACATAGCAAAATGTCTCAGGGGCATGGGCTAGAGCTGGAGAAGATGTATGGAAAAAAGAGTGAACCTGCCCAGGCAGTTCTATTTTACATAGCAGTGTGAACGTTACCAAACTGTCTTAATTTGGGACATTTGTACTACTCTCAGTTTTGTTCTGCAATCAGTGCCAGACTAAGGGCAAATGTAGCCATTTCTGGTGCTGTGTTATGTACTGGTCATTAAACTTCTTCTGCCTTCTGTACCTGAAAATATTTCTGTACTTGCTAGGAATTAACTACATGATTCATTTAGCAATGCTGCTGCAGTGACAGCATGGTTTTGCTGTTTATAGTTATTAAAATGAAGGACTATCAACACCATTAGACACCGACTGTCTGAACTTCATACTATTTATATAGAGACTTTAATTTAAATGCTCTTCTAATCTTCATGTGAAACAGTTTGGTTTTTCGAATGCTATAGACCATTTTTTAAAACAAAAGCTGCCTTTCCTTCTGTGTGGAGGGAGCTTTAGAACTGGGCAGCCACCAGTCTTAAGAGTATATCTTTGGACAGAATGTTCTTTGATAAGAGCAGTGCTGTTTCTGAACACGGTCCCTGAGCTGCTGTGTATTTCTTACACAAAATCAAAATGCATTTCAAGGGTGGGGTTGACCATAAACCAAGCTGATTTAAAACTGCAGGTGATAATAGGACAGAATTTGGTTTGGCTTTTCTTTAAAACATGGTAGGTGATTTCTCTTTGTGTGAGTAACTCTCCTTCTGTGTGACCTGTCCTTATGAGACCATAAGGTGAGAGGCTGAAGCTCAGATCTCGTTTTCCAAGAGATATGTGGATGAAGGTATTTAGGGATTTTTAAGCTGGGATTTTCAAACCCACGAGATTTAGACACCAACTGCTCATCAATGCAGCGAGGGAATGGATATCTGTGTGTCTTCAGCAGCTCTGAAAAATCTCTGTCTCTGTGGCAGCCCATTTTAGACTCAACAATATAAAGGATACTGTGTAGAGCCTGAAGTGACTTGCTGTACTGCATCAGATGCCCAGAGCCTGCCCTTGTACCCTCAGTGGGTCTCATATTTCTTTAATTCCTGGCTGGACCTTCTGGTGGGTCTCACTGGTGGGCCCCAGGACAGGAACAGCAGATGCATGAGGCCTCTGGCAAAAAATCAGGAGCAGCCCCATGCCCTTAGAAAAATTACATCCTTCCTGGGGCCTGAGATAAGCTGCTTTGCCATACATTGATTCTCCCCCAGTGTTTTGTGTGAGCTGGCCCAGGTCCATGAAGCAGAGTGGCCATGTCTGTGCCACACGGGTCTGCCTGTGGCAACCCTCCTCTCCATGGAGGAAGGGTAAAGTGGGAAAAGTGTTGGGTTGAGGAGGTTAAACTCCTTGAGGCTGAGCAAAGCAGTGAGATCCTTGGCGGGAGACTCCTCCCATCCATGTCACATACCCTGGTGAGTCTGGGGTATGCTGATGCTGGAGGTGAGACTGCAGTGGGATGCTGTATGACAACAAATGTACAGGGCATTCCAAATTCCAATTCCAAATTCCAGGGTATCCAAAGGCAAGTGAAGTGAATCCTGCCCAGGAGACTGTTTTTGAAAAGCCACCATCTCTTTTTGCACAGCATTTTTAAATGAATATAAACCAGAAGAGTAGAGACACGACTGGCTTAACTCAACTGCAACCTATGTGATCTAAGCAGTGCCTTAATCTATTCCCAGTGCATATAATCTGAGATCTCTTGCAACAAAGCAAGCTGCTTCTGAAGCAATTGCCTTCAAAAACCTCCATTAAAAATTCACTGCTAATTTCATATAATCAAAGAGAGATTGGAGGAACAGGTGCAAGATCCACTGGAATCACTAGCAGTCTGTTTTTATCTTGAATCAGTCATTCTAAAATCAAATCTTTGGTGTAGGCTGGTTGAAAGAATACTGTAAGTAGAAATGTTAGCAAAGAGAGGTTTACATTTTTGGTTAGAGATTTTTGCAGCATAGCAAGTAAACAACTGAAAAACACTATTTTTGTTTGATTTACAAATTGCAGTTTTCAGCCCTGTGCAATTAGGTGCCTGGAAGAGCAGTAAGGCCAGGGCAGATTTCTACATGCAACTATTGCTAGGAAAGACATTGCTAGTGTAGAGGTAAATAATTGGGGTGGAAGATGATGAATACATGCTATATACAACAGACAATATATACTATACATCTTCTTTGAGCATTAGGCATCTGCATCTCTGTAGGGTGTATATGTGGTTTATACATAGGTATATCCTGGTTTATTTGGACATAATGTACAATCAGATTCACACTCAGAGTGTCAGTACCTCAGTACTTGTTGCCTTTTAAAAACCATTACAGATGGCACAGCCTCTAGGATGGAGTTGGACAGTAACAGTTGTGTGGTTGGCTTGATGGTGCTTGATAAAGCCATGGGAATGGAGGAGAGTAAGGTGCTTAGGCAACGCTTAAGTTAATCTCATGCCTTCCCATCAAGCCAAGCAGTGCACTAAGGAGCTATTCACAACAGAGGAAGGAAAAGATGCAGTTCAAGATGGGGAGCGTCCTGCTGTCTCTTCTTTTCTGGTACAAAGGTATGCACTTTGCCTCCTGAGAGGCCCTTTCAAATATCCCCCTTTGTGTTCCCTGTTTCAGGCACGCTTTCTTCTGCCAGGAGCTGTGGGGTACAGAGCAAGCCCTTCTCTGCATTCTCATGGAAACATAATAATTCGGGGAAAGGCAAAATGTGGAGGAGATGTGTAATTTATGTATATGAGTGAGCAGCATTCTTACAGCTCTATGAATATTCAGTAGTAAAACTCTGTTTCAAAAAAATAATTGCAGTGTAAAAAATTTGCCATATAATTTGTCAAAATATGAATTTGCAAAGAAAATTGTAGTGCAGCTGAGCCAGTGTGTAAATAATAATGCTGATTTGAAAAATGAGGTACAGTATAACATGAAAGACTGGTCCTTCATTAATCAAAACTCTTGATTAATCAAAAACTGATCATTTTCTCTAGCAGCAAGACATTGCTGATGAAGATTGCCCTTTTTTTAAGGCCTTTCAAGGTATTTTGGCCTGGAAAAGACTTCCAAAAATACTTCTAGAACAAAAAGCAACTCCTAAGTCTAGAAAATAGGAAAGGTATTTATCAATTTTGAGGCTTTCTCATATTCATTTTTCAGAAAAGTAGCAACAAACGTAGGTATGGGGAAGTTAGAAGGAGAGAGAAAATTTAGGGTGACATCTCCTTCCATTTTAATTCACCCAGCTGTGGAGAATAAGGAGATAATTTCCTGGTTCATATTTAAATTTCTGGCTTGATCAAAGCCAATGGAAAAGCTACTTTTTGCTTAAATGAGGCTGAGGGCTGCTCTTGGTAAGTGGTGGGCAGTGTCTATCGACATGAATGTGTGAATCAAGTATGATCTGTCAGGGAACAGATTAATCAGACAGCCCAACTTTTCTCATGTGGGTGTTGAATTCCCAGTGTTTTGGTATGTCTGTTTTTTTCTCTCTTTCTGTGTTTCTGGTGAATATTTTGCTCTACCAAATTTCATGGGTAGGAAAATAAGTGCTCCTCAACTAGCCATGCCTTCATTTCATCTTGTTATGTTTGGCTGTACCCAGCTCTGCCTAATTAATAGGTCTTTCTTTTAATCTCCCAGCAAATATTTGTACGTTCTCCTCGTACCTTACCTCCTCACTCTCCTTTGTTTCACTTGGGAAGGGTACTGGTGCCTGAGCTTCTAGGAAGAGTGTTTTTACACAGACTCCAGCATTTTTTTTCCCTATGGGTGGCATAACTGCAATTAGTCCTTGGAATAAGTTCATATACCTTACTCTGAATTCCAGACACAGCTTGCTTTTAATAGACACCCACACATCAGGATATTTTTGGAGAGCCTGCGGTGAAAAATAACTTGCAAGATCACTTTCCAGGCATCACTCCTTTGGTATTTAATTTATTTTCTTAATTTGTGGTATTTCTTAATTTACTGGTTTTCCCTGCTTCTCTGTCTAAGTGTCTCTCGTGGCTAAAAAGAGCAGCCCCTCTCACCCTGCCTCTCCCAGCACGGAGGTGCCGCTAGGTCAGTGCTTGGAGCTACGTGCGCTGATGCCATGATAAGCTGCTTAGCTGATTTTCCCTGGCAGAGCAAGTGGCTTAGAGGAGCACCCGCACTTCGCCTGGGCTTGTGTTCGCTGGGGACACAGCAGAGCAGCAGCAGCAGCAGCAGCAGCATATGGTGGTGCAGCAGGAGGGTCCCGCGGCAGCTGCCGGGCCCCTCCGTGCGGCGAGGGGAGCCCGAGCCCGCCGCGCCCCCGGGGCGCTCCGAGCGATGCGCCCGCGCCTCGCTGCTCCATCCATCCATCCATCCATCCATCCATCCATCCATCCATCCATCCATCCATCCACCCATCCATCCATCCATCCATCCATCCATCCATCCATCCCTCCATCCATCCATCCATCCATCCATCCATCCATCCATCCATCATCCATCCATCCCTCCATCCATCCCTCCATCCATCCATCCATCCATCCATCCATCCATCCATCCATCCATCCATCCATCCATCCATCTACCCATCCATCCATCCATCCATCCATCCATCCATCCATCCATCCATCCATCCATCCATCCATCCATCTACCCATCCATCCATCCATCCATCCATCCATCCATCCATCCATCCATCCATCCATCCATCCCTCCACCTGCGCTCCCTGCGCCTGCAGAACGAGCACACCTCGCAATTCAGGGGAGGCGAATTCTCTTTTTTCACCTCTGGTTTTTGTATCTTTGAAAAAAAAAAAAAACAACAAAAACCAAGAACCGCCCCCCCAAAAAAAAAAAAATTAAAGGCTCAAACATGCTTTTTGGATCATTTGGATGTAAATAACGTTTTTAGTAGAGCTGCCCTTTGGTGTAATCAATGCATCTAATGAAATTACAATGCAGGCAATGTTCTGTGTAGTTCCAAGCAGGAAGGAACACACATGTCAATAAGGTGAGGAAAATGCTGAACATTTCTAAGGAACACTTTGGGGGAAAAAAGATAATTAATTGTACATCTCTTAAGAAAAAAGGGAGGAAAGGTAGATTTTATTAAAAATTAATTTAGCTTTTTTCAAATATTGCCACAACATTAAAAAATTTAGTGGAAACATTATGGGAAAAGAGAAATTAATACGAATTAAATAGGTGTAATTGTGATTACTTAAATATATTTTTATTGCTTTCAAATAAATACCAGTAAATATTAAATGAACCACAATAAAAATGAATGAAAAGGAAAACCTAATGAAAATCATTCAAATAAAGAAAATGAAACCGAAATTAAAATAATACAAGAGTGAAGAATCCCTACAAAACGAAGGAGGAAAAGAATAGCCTAATTTAAATAGCCTGAGAGAGAAGCTTAACACGAAGAATGAGACCTCCCCTTTGCAGGCTGATGTCCTCTTGCCCTGGGTTTGTGGCTCTGGCCGGGCCTGCCGGCGGTCAGCAGGGATCAGGGCTCGGTGTGTGCGGGGTGTCGGAGCCCAGCAGGGATCAGGGCTCGGTGTGTGCGGGGGGTTGGAGCCCAGCAGGGATCAGGGCTCGGTGTGTGCGGGGGGTTGGGGCCCAGCAGGGATCAGGGCTCGGTGTGTGCGGGGTGTTGGAGCCCAGCAGGGATCAGGGCTCGGTGTGTGCGGGGTGTTGGAGCCCAGCAGGGATCAGGGCTCGGTGTGTGCGGGGTGTTGGAGCCCAGCAGGGATCAGGGCTCGGTGTGTGCGGGGTGTTGGAGCCCAGCAGGGATCAGGGCTCGGTGTGTGCGGGGGGTTGGAGCCCAGCAGGGATCAGGGCTCTGTGTGTGCTGGGTGTTGGGGCCCAGCAGGGATCAGGGCTCGGTGTGTGCCGGGTGTTGGAGCCCAGCAGGGATCAGAGTTCGGTGTGTGCTGGGTGTTGGAGCCCAGCAGGGATCAGAGCTCGCAGGCCAGTGTGTGCGGGGTGTTGGGGCCCTGCTGGCCCTGCTGGGGCCACAATGTCACCTGCAGGAGGAACAGGCTGAGCATTCGGCCCAGGGCGGCTTTAGGTGCTGGAGTCCCTGGGTGGGCCCTGCGCTGTCTGTCCCCAGGCCGGGATGTCTGTCCCCAGGCCAGCCCGCCTGCCGGTGTCTGTGGGGGGACACAGACGAGCGGGTGTCCCGGCGGTCCCTGCCTGCTGGCACAGCTCCTGCGGGCCATTTAAAGCCTGTTAGGGATAAAGGCGCTGTTTGCACAACACCGGGTCCCGTGGGGCCTGCCCAGCATGGCCATGGAAAAAGCCCCGGGGGAAAATCAACAAAAGCAGCCACAAAGCGAGTGGGCAGGGGGGCTCTGCTTGCCATGGGGACCTGGGGACCGGCCACAGCTGCAGCAGGGCTACCACTGCCCCGGCACAGGGGCAAGGAGTGATGGGGAGAACACCGCGAATGTGGCAGCTTCCCCAAATGCTCCTTCTTACGGAGGCTGGTGCAACCTGATGTGAGTCACCTCAGCCGCCTAGCACGATTTTCAGGGCTGGGATGTAAAAATAGCCTCAGTTAATAATACAGCAAGGTACAAACGAGCACCCGATGGGCGCAGAGGCGCTGCAATGCTTTTTCCAGTGTTTCGACCCTCTCTATTGCTTACAGGCTGTTACCTAACTCTGCTCCTGATGCTGTCTAATGCGGTGCTCAGGGAAAAGAGGGACTTTCAGAAAGCATGATAAAACCAGTGCCACCCATTCCAGCCATGCCTTTCATTTTTGTGACTTTTTGGGGCTATTCTGGGGCTCCAGCCTTATTTTTCTGGGGGGTTCAAGATACTTTCCTTTCCTCTAGCCCACAACCCGGAGGTGCAGAAGGGGAGCAGGTGACTATCTGTGCAAAAGGAGCCATTGTGCCCAGAAAGCACTGCTGCATCATGGGGACATTGCTCTCCATCGGGAGGAGAGAAAGTAATTTTACTTCTCTAAGCAATGTTAAACTGAGGTGTTGCTTACAGAGATGAGACAAAAAAATCAACTTTTTTTCCAGCTGAAGCTTCTAGAACACCTATATAATAAAGTGAATAAATAAAGAGATTTAACATTTTCCACATACTTTTCCTGCAATGATCAAGTTTATTCCAGTAAATTGAATAACTTATTCCAGTAAATTGAATAACTGACATTTATTCTGTGTTACATTTTATTTCTTTCTTTTCATATTTATAATGTGCTTTCTCAGGCTTGTGTACCTGCCATTAATTCCTACACTAAAAGATTACTTGCTTCTCTGACTTTATGGTCAGGATAGTGAATGTGATTCCTCAGAGTTACTGTATTGAACACAGCCTTTGGCATTGTTACTTCTGCCCACACTTATCTTTCTCCTTTCTTTCTCTTGTTTAACCACATTCCTAATGATTACAATTTTTCTGAGAAACACAGTTACCTGTTCCTGTCATTGAAATGCCAGCAGCTCAGTTTCCTTGCTATTGATTGTCCCTTTTCCCAAGTAGCCCTAAGCTGTGGCTGCTGCTTTATCTGACTTCCACTTCAGGAAACCCCATCCTGGCACCCCAGGACTACCTCTGCCAGTTCTTTACCTCTCTGCCCCAAACCTGGACCAGTTCCTTCAGTATCATTCCCCTTCATCCTGCTCAGCAGCAGGTGCCAAGTGGAGACATCTCAGGACCTGGGCTCCAGCCCAGCCTCACTGGCACAGGTTCCCCGGCACAAAATCATGCCCTGGATCTTGTCCCAAGCCCTGGTCCCTAAATCCTGTGTGCTGTGGGAACCATTTGTGCATGGCAGTGCTCTGGACACACTGCACTGCAGGGTGGGATGAAGGGATGGGAAAGCCACATGCCTTATCTCTCTGCCTCACACAAACACAGATAATAATTTATTTCACTGAACTGATGGTTTGCTGAAGGTTCTGGGGGGCAGTAAATAGAGCTCTTTCCTTTTTAATGTTTTGGGGGTTTTGTCAGTCCTGTGCTTTTAAAACAACAGCCTCTGGCAGCTGTGCAGGCCTTATGACTCTCCCTTGAATTGCAGCAATTGGTTCTGTCTGACCTACAATTACCAATTATCTTTGTAACCTTCCTTGAAGGCAAACATGCTTGCTATAAAAGCACACTGCCCATTACATTTTTAGACTATTGGCAGCCAGCTTTCCTCTTCATTTCCTTTGTAGGACAGGGCCTTTCACAGCTGTAAACACACCAATATATCAATTACTATGTTTTGTGGCCAACTGCAGGCAAGGGCATCTTTCATTTGCCCTCCTCTCCCAAGGCCAGGGGTTATCAGGCTGCACTGCCCAGGCAGGGCATTTGGCCATCCACTGCTGTGCTTACCCCACACCAAGCCTGCTACTCCCCTGACTGTGGTTGGATGGCTCAGCCCCTTTGGGAGTGAGCCCTTAGCAGTTCACCTCTCCTAGCTGAAAAAGGGGAAGCTGAACTCTTTGAGGGGTTTAAATCAGCAAGTTATGCAGTGAGGAGTGGAGGAGGCTGGGACAGCCAGACGGGCAGCAAGCCAGCACCTGTGCCTTGGCACTGCCTTTGCATTGCTGTGTGTTGTGGGATCAACCCAATAAAACATTGGAAAAAGTTTTTCATTGCACTGAAAAAAAGGGCTTTTGTGCTTGAAATTCACACCCTGGCTTGATTTGCTGTGGTGTCCCCTAGCAGGTGAAGCTAAAAGCCCTCATAGCCACTCTTGTAGCTCAGGAGCAGGCTCCACTGGCTGAGTGCAGCCACCCACAAAATGCTGGGTCACCTGGGGAGGAGGATTTATTCTGGGTGCTTGAATTGATGCTAACATACACCCACACACCTGAAATCTTTTCCATTTGCGCCCGTTGCATGTGTCAATAGCATATTCAATTTTGATCTTGGCTCTCAAAGGGAGGGACTGAGGAGGCCATTGAAGGGCTCAGCATGGTCACACAGCAATATCCTACACCATCCTGGTAACTCACATCCCCTTTCCCTACCCCAGGCATGCAGTGCTTAAGAACAGGCCTCACCACACCAGTCATGGAACATAACTTTCTTAATGGCTGGACTCCATGATCCAGAAAAAGCCTTTTCCAACCCCTTTTCCAAGCTAAAGTACATTAAACCACCATAAGAAAAACCAAAAAAACCCACAAAAGTTTTCTCCTCAAAAATCAGTCTTCTAAAGATGAAAATCAAGTGGTTAAGCAGATGAGAGGAGCCGAGCCTGTAGCCCTGTGAGCCAGGGATTGCTGGGCAATGGGAGCACACAGCAGGCTGTGATGGCTGGGCAGCCTTCCCAGATGTCAGGGTGAGGGAGCCCTTGCAGCTGGTGCTCCTGGAGCAGGGCACCTGTCCTGCTTGGAAAGGACACCCCTGTGGGCCAGGGGGGTAGGAGAGACACCTGCCAGCCTGGATCTCATGTACCAATGGCTCTCCTGCACTGGCATCAAACAGCACAGGGCAGGCAGGAGAGGCAGGCACTGCATTACTTTATTGGCAAATATGGTCCAGTTTTGGTAAGTGATAAAATCCTGGTTTCTCTTGCATTGACAGACAGCATTAACCTCAATCACCTTCACACAGGTTTAAGTCAAACCTCTTTGCCCCATGTGGCACAGCACAGGGGTGGCTCTGGGTCTGCCCCTCTGCCTTGGTTTTCTGATTGCCCAGTGGAGTCCCAGGGCTTGGCTTGGTAACATTTGTGCTGGGACAGGTGTAGTGCAGTGCAGTGCTGTGTGGGGTCCCCAGTCTACTCTTTCTAAGATGTCTGGAGATGTACAAGCATGTTTTCCTCCTGAGCATGCTGGGCTCTGGGCGATCCCTGCCTCCTTCTTGGGTCTGACTAGAAGCCACAACTTTTTCTTGTAGACTGGTATTTACTTCTTCTGCCAGGGCCAGTGCTGTGGGTTAATGTGGTAAGTTTGTGATGCCAGAAATGCTATTCTGAGACACTGAAGCACAGGACACCATCCCTGTGTTAGAGAAAGGAACTTTTAAAAATGCATCATTTTGCTTTTGAAGGTCTTTCTTTTAGACTCTTGATACATTTAGACTCATTTTCACACTCAAGGAGCAGTTGCATTTCACTAATAAACCGGGCTTTGTATATAGTTTATATTTCAGCTGATTATAATTGCTCTGTGTTTGTGAGTCTTTTGAGATGAAACTTGCTATAGTAATGTAGGATGTAAATTCCCAGCATTAGCTGCAGCTTCCTAGGCTCAGCAAAGTGACAGTGTATGAATGAATAAATCATAACTAGATTTCAGTGAATAATTCAGAGTCTAATACATTTGGTGAAAAAAAGTCATCTTTTTGTATTCACAGTGCTTCTGGAGATGGCAGGTTTCTCATGGCTCCTCTATGCAAGCTTTTACCTGCTCAATCACTTTTTCCTTACTGGTTTGTAGATTCCCTACATCTCTGAAAAGCTGATGTTTGACATTTGATTTGTGTTGATGAGTTATCAGCAGTCATGGGATTATTTTTTAAAATTATTTTATTTTCATAGCTGTTTGGGAAATATTCTACCAGTCTAAAAGCTGTTAACATACTCTTCTTTGGACTTCACTGTGAAGCAAGAAGAGCCTTTTCAGTAAGGAAAAAGCCTCATAAAAAAAGCCATTGCTCAGTAAGAGGCAGGAGATAAAACAGGTCAGATGTTACAAAAATAGCAGTCTTCTCCTCCACAGCCACAATTACTGGTTTTCCCTAGGAAAGGAAAAAAGGTAGTCTTGTCTGTAAGACAGATTAGGAAGGCCTATTTAGGCTTGTTTGTTCTCCATCACATCCAGAGGGAGTGATCTCAGACCAGCACCTTGTGAGATACCCTATCTCCTCCAAAGACATTTGGGATCTGCAGTGGCACCAGGCTAGGATTTGACCCTTGAAGCCCATCAGCTTAAACATTTCAAGGGGAAAATGTGACAGGGAAAGTGTGGAGCAGAAAGACAGAAAAATGGATATGAGCAAAATCAGCTGTAAAGCAGAGGGGTCCAGCATATGTTTGCCTCAGGGTGATTCAGGCGTATATGATCAAATAGAGGAGATGCCAAAGGCATCTGGAGGAAAACCCTATGGAGGAGTAGCACAGACATGAGCACATGCAGTGCCCTGCTCCTGCCCATGTTCTCTTGCCTTCTCCTGGCAATCAGCTTGGGAAAATGTGGTAGATTCATCATTCCTCCCTCTATTTATTTGTCTGTATCTCAGGAGTAAATGTTGATTGTACTTCCTGATGTTTGCTTACAGCATCTTTGTTTCTGATCTCTCTTCTCTTTCTTCTTCCCTCCACGCCCGCTCCCCAGCTGTGATGGCCCTCTCCCCAGGAGAGGTAAGTCTCTGTGGATAGTTCAGCTGCCTGGCAAAGCTGAGGGTCTGACACTGCCCAGCTCTGGTGCCTTGGGGCAGAAGGAGGGTTGGAACCTGGGCCTTCAAGCTCAGGCATATGCTCTGACCTCTGAAGCCAAGGGGATCCAAGTTGTTCTGTGCTTCAGGTTGAGCTGGCAAGAGGAAAGGGTCTCAGACAAGGTGCAGCAGTCCAGAGAGGCACAAGCATTTGTCTAAGGTTCAGAATTCAGATTTGGCCTTGTGACACTATTGTTGATGACTATGTAGATTTATTACTCATTTTTTTACCTTTCCTTTAGGATGAGAGACTGGAGCTGTGGCACAGCAAGGCTTGCAAATGCGACTGCCAAGGAGGCCCCAACTCGGTGTGGTCCAGCGGGACTAATGGCTTGGAGTGCATGCCAGGTAACAAAGGGACCCTGCAGCTGTGCTTGGTGCCTTCAGCAGCTTCCCCTTGGCACCTGGCATTGCAGAGCTGGCACCTTCCAAATCCAGCTGCCAGTGGGGCTGGGGGAGCTGAGGCACTGTGAGGTGAGGGGATGACTCTGCACCATCAGGCAGGGGCAGCCCCGTGCCTGGGCCTTGGGAGGTCACCTAGGCTGGCCTGTGCTGACCAGGGACAGTGGGCATTTGTCTTTCTCCCTCTGGAACCCTTGGTGCTGGTGCTTCCAGAAGCTGGCTGGGCCAGCTACTGCCATGTGTAGGATTTGCTGTAGGAAACCTTTTGTACATGTAGGCTCATTCTCCCTTGCTGCAGTTTAGCCTGTAAAATCTTCTAGACTCTCTAGGGATCAAGAAAAACTTTGTTCCTTCTTTGCAGCATATTTTAAAAGGGAAGGGAAGGGAAGGGAAGGGAAGGGAAGGGAAGGGAAGGGAAGGGAAGGGAAGGGAAGGGAAGGGAAGGGAAGGGAAGGGAAGGGAAGGGAAGGGAAGGGAAGGTGGCAGGTTTGGTTGATCTGTTCATGGCCAAGGAACATATGGGCAAGGAGCTGAGCTGGGTTTCATGGCCAGGCCAGGTGTGAGGGGGTGTTTCTCACATTAGCATTATGCAGCTGAGTAATGAAGGCATTTCCCTGGTTTTCCTGAATGAGGAACATTTCCACTGTAACTTCCAGCTGTCACTGTCCCCAGAGAGGGGCTCTGCATTCCCCTTGCCCAGCCCAGCCCAGCCCAGCCAGCGTGGTGTGGCCTGGCATTCCCTGCTGCCCAGAGCAGCCATTCAGAGCTGCCTCTGGCACGACCAAAGGGAGCAGCCAGCCTTGCAAACGCTGCATGACTTTTCTCTGGTTTGGCAGTAACAGTGTTCAGTGGTTCAGCTGCTTTGGCTGGGCAGGCACCAAGCATCTGTTTTGGTCCCTGTGCATGGCACAAACAGACTCAGCAGAAGGTGACCTGCTAATTGCATTACAGTTGTGTGGTCTGTGGATTAGTGTTGCTAAAAGTAAAGTTGGGTGGTGTTTGAGATAAGCCTGGCGAATAGTAAACACACAGGCCATCCTCTTGCACAAGGGGAGCAAGGCTTTTAACATGGTGGAAAAGCATGATGTTTCCATGCCTGGAGGAAGGTGGCACAGTGGCTATATGTTTTCATGGGGAAAACATGTTAATGAGCAAGATATGTTAATGAGCTATTGAGGCATGCAATATTGACCTAGCAGAGCTTGCTAATGAGACATCGACCGCATGGCTGCAGTGCTGGGGAGCTGCACTGGGGAGGCCACAGTGATGCTGGGCTCTGGGCACCCACTGATGCTCCCCACATGTTGATTGCTTTTGGCACAAGGCACCACAGTGGTTGTTCAGGTATGGATAAGGCAAGTAAACCTCTCACCCACAAGTGAACTGCACAGAGCTTTGCTTGCTCCTTTTTTGCTGAGACCTGTGTAACAGAGTATGCTAAACTGGAGAAAGGGACAGAATTACTTCAGGGGACTCTAGAGGCTCCACAGGCTGCAAAATCAGAAAATGCTGCCCATGATACAGATGTTTGCCTAGGCAGTCCCTATGTGACACTTGAGTGCCTTCATTCTGTGTATCTTGACACACAATGATAACCTGATCACATAAAAAAAAAAGATCATAACAAAAAACCCCACAGCTAGGTCCAGGTAGCATGCAGGTACTCAGCCTCACTAAAGTCTTGCCTTCCAGAGCACTGTGGGGTGACCCACCACAGAAAGTTTTAATGAGGAGTGAGTCTTTCTTTCTCCAGTAGTTTTGCAGGTAGTTTAGTCATGCTGAATTTCTCACTATTGCAGAAGACAGTTGTGGGGGCAGGATTGTTACCCTGAAGATCTGCAGTCAAACACTGAAATGGAAATCTCTGAGCCAGGGATGATCCCTCAGCAGGGCTGAGCATGACACCTCGCTGGCACCAAAACACCTGCAAGTTTTCCACAAGGCAAGGCCACCTCCAGATGCAAAGAAATGCAGATCTGAGGGTACTTGTGGAGGGATGACCAGAGCTGGCTCAGCAATTTTGCCATGCAAGTAGAGCTGTAAATCAAGACAGTCATTGGAGGGGCAGAAGGAGGTAAAGGCCAGCAAGAAAAGAAGTGCCCAGCATTATTCAAGGCAAAAAGCTGACAGCCTGGAGGCTGGATCCAGGTTGATGCAACCAGTCAGGCTCTTCTTCCACATGCCTACAAGAGGGAGATTCAGACTGCAACATCTGAATAAAGCCTTTCCCCCAAAATGTTGCAGTCAGAACAAGTCTAGTAAGTTTGAGAGAGAAAGAAGAACTAGAAATTAACACAAGTGAAGGTTAGAAATGAAGATCTTGTAGCCCCAGGACAAGTTGTGGTCTAGGATAAGAGCATTCCCAGCATTCTAATGAGGGAGAAGAGAAAGCAATGAAGCCCCAGGAGGTGTTCACAATATGTGTGCAAACACACCCAGAAAACAGAGCCACTTCTGTCCCTTAAGTGTTTTTCCCTTATTCTGCAGAGTGTCCCTACCACAAGCCCCTGGGCTTTGAGTCTGGTGCTGTCACCCCAGACCAGATCAGCTGCTCCAACCCTGAGCAGTACACGGGCTGGTACTCCTCCTGGACAGCCAACAAGGCCCGCCTCAACGGCCAAGGCTTTGGGTGAGTTCAGAAATGCCCCCGTGAGGGTTCCTGGGGCTGTGGGGGCTGGGGAGCCCTGGCTGTGTGGGGACAGGAGGCTCTGCCTGGGAGGGCACGGTGGAGGACAGAGCGGGGCTGGTGGTGTCCCCCCAGGTGTGCGTGGCTCTCCAAGTACCAGGACACTGCACAGTGGCTGCAGATCGACCTGAAGGAGGTGAAGGTGATTTCGGGGATCCTGACCCAAGGGCGCTGTGACGCTGACGAGTGGATGACCAAGTACAGCGTGCAGTACCGCACCGACGAGAACCTCAACTGGGTCTACTACAAGGACCAGACCGGGAACAACCGGGTCAGTGACCTTGGCTCTTTGGCCACTGGTGGAAGGGTGGCATGCTTGGTGACAACAGGTCTCAGAGGAAGGTGCATCAAAAGGGGATCCTGTGGGAGCAGCAGGGTGGGTCTCGGTGCTCACTCTGCATCAGGGAGCAGCATAGAGAGGGGCCATTCCCCCTGAGGTGAGAGTGTGTCATGCTGACCAGTGCAGAAGGACAAAATACATTATTTGTGTTTTCTAACGATCATACTGGAGTCCAGATTAAGCTCAGAGGCATTAACTGGCATTGCAGAGGAGGCAGCAACTCCATGATAAAATCCCATTCTCAGCTGTGGCCACACAGCCCCAGCCATGCTTTGGTACTGCATGGGGATTTCTTTTATTGCTATGTCCAGGAAATATGTGTCATCCTGGTGCAGAAAAACCCCTCAGGCAAAATCTGCAACTAGTTAAATCACAACCCATCAAACCATTCTCATGCTGCACTTCTTACTGGTTGACTTGAAACCAAAAATTGTACTGGGGAGATATTAGAAAGTTGCTTCTGATGCCTGTGCAGTCCAGCTGGGCTGGTGGATGCCACAGCTGCTGCCTCCCGGGTATCCTCAGCGCCCATCTATGGGAATGGTCCTGTCCTAGCATAGGAGGCTCTGCTGGCTTTGCTGAAGTTCCTGCAGCTCTGAGGAGATGCTGAGATTTCCCAAAAAAACAGGTCATGGCAGCAGATGTGACATCCAGGCCAAGGAATGGGGAAAGGGCCCTCACATACATTTTTTTGTCTATAATGGCTTGTGTAGGAGCCTGGCTCATGAACTTCAAAGAGCCAGTCAGTCTTTCTCACTCCAAACAAGCAGTGCCATGGTACAGGAAGACAAATGAGAAAGAATGGGATGAGAACGGGCTGAGATTTTCTGGCCTAACTGTAAAAAGTGCAGGGCTGATGGGGGAAAATGGCCTACTAAGAAAACTGAATCAGTGTGACAAAAATTGTCTACATCTGGCTATTTTTAAATTCTTTCATTTTGAGGGTGGAGGGGAAGGAGCCTCCTCCTCCTCTGCTCTGCACAGGTACCCCAAAGTCATGGGACAGGATTTCCAGCCTCCTAACCACCCACCCCTCCCTTGGCAGGTTTTCTATGGCAACTCGGACCGCTCGTCCTCGGTGCAGAACCTGCTGCGGCCGCCCATCGTGGCGCGCTACATCCGCCTGATCCCGCTGGGCTGGCACGTGCGCATCGCCATCCGCATGGAGCTCCTCGAGTGCCTGGGCAAGTGCGGCTGAGCGCCGGCCGGGGGCTCCGGGGGGCTCTGCCCGCCCTGCCCTGCCCTGCCCTGCCCACTCCTGTGTGTGTAAACACCCAGCCTGCAAGGGAAGGGCTGTCTTGAATAAAATGTTACTTCACACCATGCTGATGATACAGCTGATGGGGGCTGTGGGACACGCACTGGGGAAGGGGAAGGTTCGGGCCATGGCTTGGATCCTGTGAGATCCTGTGAGATCCTGTGAGATGTGGTGCTTCTGGCCCTGGGTGTTAGGCTGGCTGGGGAAATGATCATCACCATGTGCTGTGAACACTGGAATGCATGCTGATGAGGTCCACAGGCAGGGCTTGGATTCTCTTTGGGATATATTGTTGTATGCCAGGACAGACATCTCGCCCTCATCTCTGAGATGGTGCTGGGGCCTCATCTGGCCTATCCCTGGTGTGAGGGCCCCCACTGAATATTACACTTTCAAATCACCTCGTGTTTGCCTGTATCAGGAACCCTCTGGCCTGAGGGGCTGTGCCTGGTTTTGGGACAGACATCAGTGCCTTGAGGACCAGGTGGACAAACCCTCTCTGGTTTTGCACTGGCACATCTTGGGGACCCCAGCACTTTGCTCCCTGTGGATGTTTGGGCACAGATACAGGGACTCACTCTTCTTAACTGTTTGATTTCCACAGCCCAAACTCCAGTGGGTATTTAGCACTCAGGGAATTTGGGGCATGTGGATGATGAACCCACCTCCTGAGGTGACAGCCCAGTCACTAAGGTTTCATGTCCCTGCCTCAGCCCAACACAGCCTAGGTGAGACCTGCAGCCCCCACAGCTCCCATGAGGGAGGGTTGTGGGGAGCTCTGGAGTGACAGCTTTGGTTTGCCTTCCCACACACCTGCAGCTCAAGCCTGGCAGGCACCAGAGGCCTTTTCCCTATTTCCTACAATCTGTGCATCCATCCCAAAGACCCACAGCAGAACCTGAACTGTCTCAGGGAAGAGAGGAGAGGCATGAAGACAGTGGCACTGAGCAGCCTGTCTGCCTCTCCTGCCCTCTCCTTATTCCTATGGACAGAGAGGTGAATGCTCAGTGTGCAGGGCAGGAGTACAGATATGACTAAAAACAAATGAGATGTGACCAAAAACATGAGAAAAGCTTTTGGATGGCTGTGCAATTAATCACATTCATTTGTGAGAGCAGATATTTCTGCCTTGTTTTATTCCTGTATGTAGAGACAAATAATAGGTCTCAGGGAAATAAGCTCTTCTGGCAAGTCTGAAAGCTGCTCCACTAACCAACAGTATGAAGTTTACAGAGATGTAAAAAAGACCAATTCCCATCTGCTGAGATGATTGCTATACACCAGCACTCCCTCGCTCCCCTCCCACCTCCTTATCCATGGGTGGGATTTTTGCCTATCCACAAATTGGTCTAGGGACACATTTTCTCAGTAAGAAATCACTGTGTGGTTCCCTTAATGCTGAACAGTCAAGGCAAGCTCTGCTGAGAGGATCCACTGAGCTTGTGGCACTTCCTCAGCAGCCAAGCTGTGGGACCAGCATGGTGTAGCAGCCTCCCTGGAGGCACTGCACATCCAGCACCAGGGAGACAAGGGCTCCCAGCAGCCATCACAGCTCTTGTCTAGCTAACATCAACACTGAAAGCATTTCCAGGCCTGGGATGCAGTTGCCAACATGTAACACACAGCTCTCCCTGCCCTAAAAGCAGCACAGGCAGCTCCATGTCCTGATGGATGGTAATGGGGGAAGGAGCCTTGGTGCTGATGTTTTCCTGCATGACTGAGGAGTGGAGGGGAGGCTGAGAGGATGAACTGGGCACAAGCTGGTGAGTATTTGTATCACCCCAAAGCTTGACTGCAGCTACTTAAAGCCTTGTCTGTGACTGGCCTCTGACAAGCTCCTGTGCACAGTCCAGAGTTTTTAACTTGTCTGGTTTTGGAAATGCACCCAATGGCAAAGGCCAGAAGCTCCTGTGAGATTTGGAAGAGCTGGAAGGCTTAATGCACAGCCTGAATGGATGGACCACATACCATTATACACCAAGGCACCACTCTAAATTATGTATCTTCACATGACTGATCCTATAGAGAGGATATAATAAAGCCTTGGAGGAAAAAATATTTTCTAGGTAGAAAGGACCTGTGCTATCACTCTTCCAGCCTCCAACTTCAAAGAAATCACTAGACCTTTTTCTAGATTGAAATGTATGGCAATATGTAAGATGGAACACAGCACATTTCACAGCTCATTTGCCTCTTGCCTTGCCCTGTCCTTTGTCTGCAGTTCACCTCTCCACTTGCATGGGGAAGGGACTTCTGACTTGCAACTAAATGGCTCCTGCTATAGCAGGAGTTTCTGTTCTGATCCTTGCCATGCAGCTCACTTGCTAATTGACCTCTAGAAATTCACTTAACCTCTGCCTCTTATATATAGAGTGCTGAGAGGCTTAATTAATTAAGTGGTCCTAAAATGCTTTTAGAATTGCATTTGACTTCTGCATAAATTGAGCATGTTGGAGTAACAGTGTGACTGAGACCATCATGAAAGTGAGACAGTGCCAGCTGAAGTATAATTACATAACTACAAAAGCTTTTTCTCATAATCATAGAATCACAGAATGGTTTGGGTTGGAAAGAACCTTAAATATCATTTAGCTCCTATCTCCCTGCCACGGGCAGGGGTATCTTCCACTAAACCAGGTTGCTCAGAGCCCCATCCATCTTGATCTTGAACACCTCCAGGCATGGGGAGTCCACAGCTTCTCTGGACACTTTGTCCCAGTGCCTCACCACCCTCACAGTGAAGAATTTCTTCCTAATATCTAATCTAAAGCTGCCCTCCTTTAGCTTAGAGCCAATACCCCTTGTCCTATAACTACATGTGCTTATGAAAGTCCCTCTCCAGCTCCATTACAGCCTCCTGTAGTTACTGGAAGGTCTCACCAGGGCCTTCTCTTCCAGACCCAAATCTCTCAGCCTATTTTCATAGGAGAGGTGTGCCAGCCCTGTGAACATACTAGTGACCCTCCTCTGGACATGGACATAGGTTCCCTTCTTTCTTGCATTGGGGGCCCCACACCTGGGCACAGCACTCCAGGTGGAGTCTCAGTAGAGCAGAGCAGAGCAGAGCAGAGCAGAGCAGAGGAGAGCAGAGCAGAGGGAGAGAATCCCCTCCCTCACCCTGCTGCCCACACTGCTTTCCATACAGCCCGGGATACAGTCGGCCTTCTTGGCTGGGGTCACACTTTGTTGTCTCATGCTGAACTTTTTATCCACCAGCAGCCCCAAGTCCTTCTCCTCAGGGGTGCTCTTGATCTGTTCCTCCTCCAATCCGCATTTCTTGTGACTTTTTTGACCCACATGCAGGATCTTGCACTTGGCCTTGTTGACCTTCATGGGGTTTGCACAGGCCCAGCTCCCAGGCCTGCTCAGCCCCCTCTGGATGTGTTTCCTTCCCTCCAGCATGTCAACCACACAACAGGGGCTGGTGAGAGCCCCACAATCAATCCCACTGACAAAGATGTTAAAAAATCCTGCAGAGATAGGGAGACCAATGTGTGGCTTTGAAGCTGCATAAAACACAAGGGGTTTGAAATAGGAAATAGGACCAAAAATGGCTTTCAGCTTTCTGGCCTGGATTTTTAGGATGGGATGTGTAGAGAGAAGTGAGGGGACAAATGGTGCTGAGAAGTTTGTACCCAGTCTAAGTTACCTGATCAGAGACTGCCTCAGGCCTCCAGACCAGCCACTTCATTTGTAAATCAATAGCCCCTTTTTCTTAATGGAATGCAGGAATTATCCCTTCACTTCCATCCAGAGAAAAATGTCCACGTGCCCTCCATCCCATGGGGGTTTAATACTGACTACACTGGGGATACCACATCAAGGTGCTCAAACTCTTCAAGGAGATGGCCACTCCAGTTTCTGGGGCTCTTCAGGGAGTACAGAAAAGGGGTAACTAAACTAGATTGTTGGAAGAGTAAGAGCCAAGTAAGAGTTAAGCTAAGTCCCCAGAGCACTGGGTACCTCAAGGAAATGCATTTCAACCCCATTTCTAGATGGAAATACTAAAATGCTGGACTGCTTTTCCTGGTGGAAGTTGAAGCCATTAGCTCAGGCTGGAAGTTTCCCACTTGGGGAGGTGATGGGCATAGTTCAGTGCAGGCACTGGCAGCAGCCTGGTCCTACCAAGGCTGTGGTTGCTGCACAACCCATCAGGCAGCTGTTTAGAGGGATCTAACATACTGCAAGTCCTGGCTTTCAGCAAGTCTTGCTGGAGCTCAGAGGGAAAGAAGGGAGGCCCAGGAAAAGTGGTCCCTACTCAGTTTGTTTCCAATTACCCCAAAGAATGAGAGACTAGCAGGGATATATTTAAAGTTTTTTTAAATCTGCACAGGGTAACAAAAAAACCTCATAGCCAGAATACATTAAAGAGGGAAAAAAACCTCATAGGATACATTAAATAGGAAGTCATCAAAAACTCGTATTGCTGACACTTCAACACCCTAACATTTGCCTTGAAGTGTCTCAGTTTACATATGACAATGATGAAATGTCATCATGGCACTTCTCCTGTGGCAAACACTGTGGGCTGGAAACTTTCAGGGCCTTTTAATTTCTGGTGGTGCCTGCTCAGGGGCTCGGTGGGTTGGTACTGTTCCAAAAAGAGAGCAGCATTCTTGCCCTGAAAGGAAGAATCCATCCTGCAATGAGAGTAGAGGAATGGTGGGCAACAAGGTGCTTCAGAGATGTTGCCCTGTATAGGAAACATCCCATGGAAACATGAGGCTTGTGGACAGACACAAGTGGCCTCTCAGATGGGGGAGTCAGGCAGGACCTGGCAGTGACCCACTGGGCACAGGAATCCTGGTTCTGGTCCGTTCCACTGACATGAGCCAAGCTAACATATGGAGAGGTGCTCTGGAAGAGATGTGTCAGGAATAACATCAGCTGTTGAACAGTGCCAGGGTTCTAGTGCAAAATCTGCATTTTTATTAAAGACA